CACTTAGAGGGCCACCAGGTAGCGATTACACTCGAACAAACTTTCTTCGGACAAGTTATACCAGTGTTAGACAGATAGTTCAATTCAATTCAATTCAATTCATATCCTTATACCTGATCGAGCCTGCTAAGTAAGATGCTAGCTATGCAGGTGCTTCACCGTTTAAAGCAGGAATATGGCCCTGAACGCCGTCAAATCCCTTAAGCTCGCAGTAAAAATTTAAAACAACGCATGCTATAACGTAGGAAGGTCGTCGCCGTAGCTCAACATAACTAAATACAACAAAAGTAAAGCATAGTTATACAAAAGTAGATATAAACGAGTATCACAGCTGACTGGCCAGCTGCCTGCAAGTCACCAATCTCTTTATTCTTTATTTATATTTTGTCTCTAATATACATGTTTCTTTTAATATACATGGCCTTTTCTACTGACTCACACAGGATGTATATGGGTCCTTCTACTCAGTATCTTCAGCATCTATCCCCATGGCCCTGAGGCCTACTTGTTCCTGGTTCAGGTCGGGATCAGAATCAGAATTAAGTTTAATATGACTGAACTGTCCGAGCAAGCCTGCTTGCAGCATGAACCCGGCGACGTAGCGGATCGCCTGCGGGTCTGATATGAGTGAATCATAGTCAGTAGTAGCTCCCAGATCCGTGTGTGCGGCGATCTTATCAAGTTAGACCAGATAACATGAGGTTTCTTAACCTCGCAAGCTAGACCCCTTCAGTGGGATGTAATCCTCGAAACATTGTATCGCAAAGAATCTTTACGTCTACTCTAGAATGGCATCGGCGTAGAACAGCTGAACTTTGGCTATAACCAACTGGCGACCAGGGCTTCTGTAATGAATTGAGAAGAGATGATTTTGTTCTAATGAAAAGGTCGGAAAGGGATATATTCCCTACGAACAGATGATGGTGCGGTGAATATACTTCCAATGAAGCCATCCATGGGAATCCATAGTTACTTGTGAATAGCAATGACTAAACAAAACGACGAGCAAACGAATTTACATTTTGCAGACTTCATAATCATCGGTCATTTGATCTTGGAGCTACCACGCCTCGTCTTTCGGTTGGCTAAGTCTTTAGGCGTAAGACGCGGAATATAGCTTTTCTCAAGCAAAGACCCGGATAATGGCCAACAAAATACTGCCACGGGGCCACCTTGAGCGCATTTGGGCCCCTATCCCGCATTTGCGCACCGAAGAGGAGTACCGCACGCTGAAACCCGGCGGTTCCAAGTTCAGACTGCAAACAGAGCAACTCCTGGATTGGGAGGACTTTACCCAAAGCACTAAGCACCTGTCTGATCCCTATTGCGGGAATCATTCTCCCTTTATGCCCGTTATACCCACTGAGACCTTCGGCGTTGCGAATGAACTGGGGGTGCAGGGTCGTTTCGTTCAGAACGCCCTGCATCCCGTAGGTGAGGTAGTAAATTTTCTAAATTTGGGTATGTCCTTCGGCGACTCACAGTGGGGCGTAAATAGGCGCAAGGGTAACAAGAAAAAGAAGCATGGTCGTGATGAGAGCGAGGATGAGGTGAACCCGAAAGGCGGGAAAAGGGGTACTCTAATTCCAGATATTGTCTTGGTTGAGAGCCAAAGGCATACGATCCGGGCACTTTGTGAAGTAAAAACTCACTGGGGATTCCAGCCAGGAAAGAATGAAACTTGGAAGACTTTTATGTCTCAAAAGATGGGTGAGTTTCTATTATATTTCTCTGGGTAGTCTCAATCAGTATTTTAACTATGGTCTTCGAAATGATAGGTCAGCTGGCCCGATACATGGACGATAATTACTGCCGATATGGCATTTATACGGTCTATGAATACACTTGGTTCTTGAAAAGGGTTGATGATACCCACTTTGCCGTGTCTCAGGCAATTAGCGCAAGTACTATCTCAACTTCCAGTGTTGGATCACTTCGAGAGTGCCTTTTGGCCATGGTAATCAGGGCAGCCCATGAAGAATGGAGCTACTACCCTGTGAGATACGGCAAACGTCTGGTAAGCCGTGGCCCATTCCTGTTTCGGATATTTTTCTGACCGATATACCCAGACTACTCGGAGGCAGACCCTAATCCGACGATCGAGAAGCCCACCTAATCTGAGAGGGAGGCGCCCCTGACTTCAACGCCATCGAAGTACGAACTCACAAAGACCAGCAGGAGCTGATGCCTCAAAAGACCTTTTTGAATTTTCAGGTATTGCCATGGGAGCTAATCGTGGGGTTGCCTGCGGTATTTTCAGAACTTCGTAGGACTGGTTTATTATTTTTGCTTCCGTAAGATATTATGGTATGGGGGAGGAGGGGTACTTGAAATGGGATGGATAAGCATGGATACTTGGCCGGGAATCACTTTTCAGTTCTTTCACAGATTATGTTCTCCCACTCCTGATAGTATGTACCCGCATTAACCAGCCAGTTGCATCGAAAACACGAAATGATTGAGAGGATGACCTTCATCCAGTCATCAAATGCTTTGTTTGGCCCTAGGCAAAATGGCAATAATAAGGGATACATTCTGAGCCGGACTTTGGAGCATCAGGCCCCATTGATTTAATTGAAAAGATACCATGCTCACCAGAGAAAAAGGCCGCATATCACGAATCCGCAGGCAGCAGTAACAAGGCCATCTGTGTCACTCTTAGCGGAAGGGTGACCGCCGCTGCACCGTAGAATCTCAACGTGCTCTGTTTGAAATAGAGCATACTCTGGCAAACCATTCTGTGGAAGGCAAAAGTTTGCTGGCGACAGTCCTCCATTTCAGACACGTTCAGGCAAGTCCGCATTGCCTCCGTGCGAAGCGTCGGATCTGATGATAACAGGTGTGCTATCTGACTGAAACACACTGCACGAAAGGCCCATAAATGCGTCAAGGATGTGGCAATTGGAAGGCTGTAAAACCACAAAGACCCCTCTACCGCACTATTAGCCCTCGCCGGAGATGAACACGTTGTTATTGGCCAACATAGTGGACCATTTATCGCAGCTTGCAGAGACTGTTCCCATATGTCAAGCTCCTGCAAAGTATTTATTAGATCCGCAAGAATACTTTGACACTCGGATCGCCTATCTTTGAGAGGCAGGGAGTCTATAGACTGGACTCTCTGTAAAATGGAAGGCAGGATAGAACCGTGACTTAATAGCGTTTGCAATGGCGATGGTTCTAGGAGCGCGAACGGTATTGTCCGCCACTCATGTGAGGACAGGAATGTATCTTGACGGGAGATGCACGCCTCCAGGATCTAGGTCTATGTTAGTCGCTTGTAACCGATTGATTACGTGCCATTTGGGCAATATGTTTGATACGTACAACTAGCGGCCGGAAGCCGATAAAGAGCTGGTGCGAAACCGGTCTAGCAAATGACTCTGGGCCACACATTTCCATCATCCGGCCGATACCTCTGATGTGGGCGATCCAGCCCTCTCGGGATGTGGGTACTAACCACTTGTAGCTGTCAGTAGCCATTCTCTCTCTGGCCGAACTGAATGAAAGTGCAGCCTACCTCAGCGAGACATAAGCACATAATAGCAGCAGCGGATTCATTGCAACCACCGTCATCTTCGGTGATTTTATTTTTCAATGAACGCACAGCTTTCGTATATGACTGTGCGCGACAGAGATCCCATTGATTGCTCCTACGGTCTCTATTTTCCTTGGTGATGATTGAGTAGCCTAAAGTTCGGAGCGACACTGACAGAAGAGGTGTACTCTTGCTTGTGTCTAGAAGCAGAGGGACGGTTTCGAGCCAAGGGCTACACAGGGTCGAGCAGTGGCCGTCGGTGCGGACATATTGCTCCTGACTATAATATTGGGGAGTGAAGTACTCCGTAACTAAACCGAAGAACTCTTCATCTGTCGACCATCGGAATGCCGAGAGATTAAGCATAAGACATCTGGTGGATGATCTGGAACGTGATAGCTACGTCTCACGTGATATAGGGCTTTTCGGTGGTCCCGAAACGATGACCGGCTGTCCAGCAGTCTTGGGTGGCAGAAAAGTCACCTCTTCGTATCCCGGGCAGTCTCTCTTGGTTAGTACACATTGAGAGCAGGCCGGGCGTTTTCCATCGCACTGAACGAGACTACTTTAGCCAATGCTAGTCTAAAAAGATCCAAGCAGAAGAGCGGTGGTTAAATGACGTTTGAAACTCACTGTATATTTCCTTTGCCGACAGTTCTGACATACTGAGCGGCTCTTCACTTTCATGATGCCTATGCTGCATTACGCGGGAAGGCGGAGGAGCGAGCATGACGGGACCGGCAGAACCAGGAAGAGAAGCCGAGACACTTGGGGTCATGTGGTCATGAGGGAAGAGGGAAGGCGGTGGAGATTCGGCAAATCCCCATCATTAATGAGTCTTGGCGACTAATGCTTCTTCTTGTGGTTAGCACACAATGTGGGTCAGTGGATCATGGCAGCTCGGTTGGAATAATCGCATGCGTGTATCTCCATCGTCATTCGACAAGATGGCTCATCTTCTTTCAAAAGAAGGGGAAAGAAGTTTATTTTGAGTTGTAATGATAGAAGATGACCAAGCATGCTATATGGGGTTACATTATACTCGGAGTTACTGTGGCGGCGGTCCAGGTCTAAGTGGTAGATCAAAGATATATAAACTCAAACCATGTCCCACATATCATCTCTCATGAGGCCCTTGCTTGTCAAGATCGTTTCTATCCCTACTTACTACCAACCCATCCATTCCTCACAGTGTTGATTCCTTGTACCAATACCTGGAAAAATGAAGGAAGCGCTTGTCTTCAGCAAGAATGGGTCAATGGAAGTCAAAACCCACTCTGTGCCTATACCCAAACCGGGACCGGACGAAATTCTGATCGAAGTCATTGTTAGCGGCACGAACCCCAAAGACTGGAAATTTCCCGACTGGTTCGATGTATTTAACGGGACGAATACTGGCGATGACATTGCTGGCTACGTCCACGAGATCGGCGAAAATGTCTCCGAATTCAAAGTCGGAGACCGAGTAGCCGCCTTCCATGATTTCATGACGCCGCATGGGAGCTTCGCCGAATACGCCATCGGGAAAGTGCACGCCACATTTCACATCCCAGCGCATATTTCCTTTGAGGAAGCATCAACTGTCCCACTGGCAGCATTGACCGCCTCTCTTGCACTGTTTGCACGGTTGGGCCTACCTGAACCATGGTTCGGGAACAAATCCTGGGCAATCAAGCCTCCAGGCGGAGTTCTTGTCTACGGTGCTGCAACAGCCGTCGGATCATTTGCAATTAAGCTGCTACAGAAAGCTGATATTCATCCTGTCATTGGTATTGCTGGAAGAGGCATGGATTATGCTAGGAGTTTGATGAACAGTGAAAAGGGTGATGTCGTCATTGACTATCGCGATGGTGAATCTGCCGTTGTACAGGGCATCCTAGATGCCATTCCTGCCGGGGAAAGTCTCCGCTATGCGCTAGATGCAGTCAGTGAGACATCGAGCTTCCAGGTGATTGGGAAGGTTCTGGACCAGACCTCGGGCGCAGTGTCGATCGTTACGCCGGAGGCACCTCAACAATTACCTGGCACAATACGGGTTGAGTTTAGCAACGTGGGAACTAGCCATGGGGATGACAAGGACTTCGCCTATGTGTGGTCGCGGATGATGACCAGGGGGCTGAGTGAGGGTTGGCTCAAGGCTCATCCACATGAGATCATTCCGGGTGGTTTGGAGGGTGTTGAAGTTGCTCTGAATAATCTTAAGGCCGGGAAGGCTAGTGCCGTGAAATATGTGTTAAGAATTATATCAGACTGAGGGGCTTAGCTAGCGAGGATGAAAATCTCATATATTTTAAGTCTGGTCTGGATTACCTCTGTCCGAAGAACATTTGTTCGAGTGTAATAGCTACGTGGTAGCCCTCCATAAATATACCCAAAGGAAATCTCGCCACCGTCAAAAGGATACATAAACGGTCGTATCAAGGAAATAGAAATTGAACAGATAGATAACCTGATCTTGGTAGGCGGGACTTATTGGCAATTCGTGGGAAATATTTTAATTAGGTGTTGATTCTGAGTCTATGTAACTGCGCCATGCAGAATAATAAGCTGAATGGTAGTTTGGATGCCACTAGATGCTCGATAAGAAAGTTGTTGGCCAAAATGCTGCGGGGTTCTCGATGTGAAGAAGACTCCCTAATATAAGATTCGGTCACTAGTCCTGGATGTGGTGAGTATCATATAAAGGATCAACCGATAGCCAGTCCACATTTTTAGAAACAACACGACCATCCTTGAGAATAGCTACAAGGTTATCCTGAATGCGATCGAGCACCGTGATGTCTTCCAAAGGATTAGATGTCAGAATCAGCATGTCCGCAATGCTGCCTTCTTTTATGCACCCGAGTTGGTTTTCCATCCCCAGATACCGTGCTGCATTCACAGTAGCAGATTTCAGAATATCCTTTGCACTCAGAACGCCTGACCTAATCGAAAATTCTTGGTTTTGAAGAGGATGTAACCCAGCCAAGAGATCGGAGCCATAGCATATCAACGCCCCTGCTTTGTGCAAAATTGACAAAGCTTCTAGACCACTGGCTAGAACTTGTCGATTTTTGGCCTGGCTGAAGTCATCCAGGAATTTGTCAAAGGGTGGCTTGGACATGCCATAATAAGTTACCAAGGTTGGAGTAAAGACAACGCCCAATTTGGCACAATATGCCGCAGTTTCCTCATCGATGAAATTCCCGTGCTCGATGCCTCGAACACCGTTATCAACGGCATGGCGAATAGCATCCACAGTGTAGGCATGTGCCGTAACGTAGGTCTTGGACTGCTTGGCAGTCGTCGTGATCGCACGAATCTCTTCCGGGGTAAACTGCAGCATATCAAGCGCATCTGATGGTGTTGCTACACCACCACCGCACATGATCTTTAAGAAGTTGGCTCCTTGCCTAAGCTCGTCCCGGGCAGCCTCCAAACACTCGGGGACACCATTGCATACTCGTGCCAGCTCCGGGGTGTGCCCACCACAGCATTTATACTCAGATCCCTGATAATTGGCGCGCAAATCCCCGTGACCGCCTGTTTGCGAGAGTGCTTTGCCAGCGATAAATAGCCGTGGACCTGCAACCAAGCCTTCCTCTATCGCTTCACGCAGAGCGTAATCGGCGCCACCGGTATCGCGGACCGTGGTGAATCCTCGAAGTAGCATCTCGCGTGCAACAAAGGTTGATCGATACGCGATGGTATTTGGACTTGCAGAAAACATATCCTTAAGAGATGGAGATCCCGGCGTTGCCGTAATGTGTACATGACAGTCGATCAATCCAGGGCAGATATACTGGCCTTCTAGATCCACTGCATCTGGAGGAGTTGCCACATCGCCAGACGATACTTCCACAATACGTCCGTCCTTGATATGCACCACAGAGTTAGGAATAATGTCGCCTGCGTCCACATCCACGATATTGGCGTTGTAAAATATGATTTCCGGGGCTGCGGCTCGAGGCAACCATGGCTTGCTCGGATTGTTGCTACTCATTGAGTCGGCATGTAACTGCATACCTGACTATTGCCAAATGTCAGAACAAGATGCAAACGAAATATTGTAATTCGGTTCAGATAACTCAGGATGGAAGTGTAATGCTACTTCCTTACCAGTAATTCACTCAGAACTTGATCCCGACTGTGTGTTGAATCAATAGGCCTCCGGGTTACATTAGCGGAGATCTTTAATAATACCCCTCATCTTTGTGCCGGGGGAGCCTGATAGCGAAGTATCCATTTCAGACCGAGGCTAGATCGGCTCATAGTCGGCCGAGGATAAGAGCAGTAGTAGTCATTCCGCGGGACCCGACCACCACTGTCTACCCGACCACCCCAAAACAACGCGTTTCGACCAAACTGATCCTGCTGCCAATTTAATATAATATATTTAATATCTAGATTTGTAAGTAAACTACATAAAAGATTCTAAGTAGAAGCCTGTATCTGAGTCTTTAATGTAAAATACTATTTCATAATACTGATTTGATTATTTTATTAAAACCCAAAAAAAAGAAAAAAAAAATTAATTGACTCAGAATTCTAGTCTTTTACCGAATAACCTTGTGGTTTAGATCCGGAGGGTTCATTCCTGAAGCGCACTAGGATGGGATCCTGACACTTAGCGTCTTGATAACGATAAAGTGTGGTAACTGTAGATGGGCTGTTCACACACGTCAATCAAGCTCTTGTCAATGTGGTGATGTGATGATTGGTATTTCTGCCTGTACGATCGAATATGTCAAGCAGTATCTTGTACTCATTATTGTCGATGTCATTCAGTATCTGCTCAAAAACTATATGGTTAGATCCTTAAGTAATTTTACATGGCATGCACGTCTTGGCTGGAGGTTGTTCATGCGGATCCAAGACCGTCGCTCTCTGAGAAAAACCCGTCCCCAAGTCACTGTAGGTTGCGGGCAAATATATACGTTCATAGCTTCCTGGGGTTCGCATGCCCAAAAATAGGCATAGAACTACATGGGAGGGAAATGGCATGGTCCAATTCGGGCGGTCAAACTGGATACTGGGCTTAGGCATGGGCGAACCTTTCGTGTCGCGGGCTTCTAAACAAGTACCTCACTAATAATGTCAGACACCATCTTTCGGGTATCGCTTTTGGCGTAGCGGTGCCTCAAGTTATGGATCCCATCGGCTGCTTGGGAGCGAATTCTGAATCCAACCTTCTCCAAGCGAGCCGCACCCTCGATCTGTATTAGGTCTGTAAGCTAGCAATATCTTTATCAGGTGCAGATATTCCATGAAGATATCACGGAGAATATCCGAGCACTAAACCTGTCTTGTACTTGCAGAAACTCGAGACGAACTCTGATTTGCCGAGAATAATCTATCATATCTCAGCTATCGGGAATTTACCCCGCATGCCAACATCATGGACGGCACAATGCACTGGGCGACAACATAGCTACAGTGGCCCTGCATAACTGGGAAGGTACTTCCCCCTTCTCTGACCATCTCACCCTCAACACATTGCTGCGAAAATTTTGCCACCCATATTGATGATGAAAGTGGAACCAAAGACGACGGACCCAAGTACATCGAAAGATGTAAACATCGATGTCGGGACTATTCGATTACATTTTTCAGCGGAGGAAGAGAAGCGCGTAGTTAGGAAGATCGACTGCTTCATTCTACCACTGGTTGGTAATTTTATCCCGTGAGGCCGAATCAATGCTAACGTCGACTCCAAAGATGTGCTTGGTGTTTTTCTTTCAATGTACGTAACCAGAACGAGGAATCAAAGTTTGCCTAGGCTGACAAACCAAGATCTCGACAAGCAGAGCCTCAGCTACGCATCGGTATTCGGGCTCATTGATGATCTTTCGCTAGAGGGGTCCGAGTATTCGTGGTGCTCATCATTGTTTTATCTCGGTAAAAGTGATTGTTGTTCTATGCTAGATTGACAAAACTGATGGTCTCGACAGGTCAACTAGTTGCAGAGTATCCCTTCATATACTTAATGAGCCGGCTTCCTCTTACCAAGTTTGTCGGTGCAACGATGTGAGTCCACGGTTGACGGCAGTACATGTGTCAAATTTTGACTGAGTTCACGAACAGCGTTTTCTGGGGTGCCGTGTGCATGTGCCTTGCGGCGCCGACAAATTTTGCAGGGTTCGGGGCCGTAAGATTTCTTCTTGGGGTTACGGAAGGGGCTGTCTCTCCAGCATTTGTGACTCTCACCAGTATGTGGTACAGGAAAAAGGAGCATGCTTCAAGAGTAGGGTAAGAAAGCAAAGTGAGGAAAGCTCATTGACAGTACATTTTACTTACTTCATGAATACAACTACAGCATCTGGGTCACAATGAACGGCCTGGCCCAAGTCCTTGGAAGCCTGCTTATGTACGGAATCGGCAAACAGCACTACCCGCGATTGGAACCGTGGAGGGTTCTCTTCCTCGTCTGCGGTGCGCTTACAGCTGCCTTCGGAGTTGTTTTCTATTTTCTAGTACCTACTGGTCCTCAAAAAGCATGGTTCCTATCGGAGAGGGAGCGAGAGGTTCTACTGGCAAGAATGGCACAAGACAGAGAAGGAGGTGATAGGACCAATTTCTCCAAAGCACAGGTGATAGAGACTTTGTTGGATGTCCGGGCGTGGTTTATCTTCGCTTTTGGTATTCTCGTCACCATGCAGTCGCCCGTCCTAACGGTATGTTTATCCTTCAACTTGTCGTCGATGGGCAAAGCTCACACAAGTCAGTTTGCTTCCTTGATTATCAAAAACCTCAATTACGATAAATACCAAACGATGTTGTATACATCGCCATCAGGAGCCGTCCAGATAGTCGCGATCTGGATTGGTGTACTTGGCTGCCAGCTTCTTCCGAACAACCGAAGCTTAGTGGTCATTCTACTTTCAATCCCTCCCCTGATTGGCAACGTCCTTCTCCTGAAGCTTCCGCTTACGACAGGTTGGGGATTGATAGTGTCCTCTTGGCTAGTAGGTTTCGTCTACTTGGTTTAATCTAGAGCATGTGCTTACCCTGATCCTAGGCGTCCTGTATTTCAGATGTGATGGTTATTCTTCTTAGTCTGAGCGCGTCAAACGTGAAGGGAAACACGAAGCGAGCGATGGCAAACACAATGTATTTCATCGGCTATTGTGTTGGTTGTATCGCAGGCCCGCAGCTTTGGCAGACAAAATCCGCGCCCAGGTTTTTCGAAGGAGTCGTAACTGCAATTGTGACGTGGTGTGTGCTAGTCCTAGCTATGGTCCTTTATTGGTACCTGTGCCGGGCTGAAAATATCAA